AGAACGTTTACTCAAAAATTGAAAGTGCATTTTCTTCAAAGTTAAAGTAGGTTCGACGGACGCGTCTTCGATCTAATGAGTCTGCAAAATTTAGCAAAGCTTCCAACTGCTCAAACTTCACACAAATATCGCTCTAGGCAAAATCAAAGGATATCCGCCCTGCCATTAGGACCGGCACGCCTCGCATAGTCTTCGATAGGTTTTTTGTAGGACCTTGACGGAAAAGCTATTTGAAGGAGCAAAAGTTCCCGAGCAAATGTCTTCAATTGTTAAATCGATTAGAGCAGAGAACCGTTCCGGTAAAGGTTTTCAGTCAAGTGAATGTCAAAGATCGACACTCAGAACTATCAAGTAAACTTGAGAAACCGAGAGCGATGAGGGAAATATTAGAAAACGAGAGAGAGTAAAAATGAGTTAATAGAGATAAATATTAAAAATAAAATGGCGGCGATAACACTAATAAGAAATTTGATTCAAATATAAATTTATATACATATACATTTGTTCACCGGAATTGTCGCGCTGTTGATCAATGAGCAAAGCAAGGTCGAAACCATTCCTTAAACGAGTATCCACTCTATACCGTTATAGCGATTGAAGAGATTTGCTTCTCAGTGACTTGGCCATCAATAAGTGCGTCCAACGGTCAAGGAGTGGTGGTGGGCACTGGAGGGAGGGAGCGTTGCTAATTTTTATATAAATATTAATAAGCTTAGTTTCTTTTTGGAAACTCTCTGAATATTTAGCCTTGGGAAAAAGTTCTGGAAAAACAGATTCCTAGGAAACCTTCAGAAAAATCCTCTCTCGTTTTTTATCCTTAGCTTTAAAATCAACATAGTCAAAACCTATATGGGTCTCAAAATATGTCGAGCTAGATAATTTATTGACTGAAAAACCTCCAAGATTTTCTAGAAAATCCTTTTTAAAAATTCTTAACGACCCAAAAAGTGTCTCAGAGGAAAGAGCATATGCGAAAACCTATAAATGCTGTGTTTCGAGTTCGTAGAAGGGATTTTAAACCAAATTTCTATGTGCCTAACAAAACTTGCCCACTGTGCAGTCTTGTTTGCAATTCCTTGTTCCATCTGAAAGTGTCTTTTACTGCATTTTATTTTATGAAAGAAAAGTGTTATATACCATTCTTCATCATGGGATTTCGTAGAATAATTGGTTCATCTACTGTCATTATAATTTTTCTTCTCTAATCATTCATCAGTGTAATTTCTGCTATATCACATGGCGATATTTCTTTTATACAATCTCCATAATAACTTATAAAATATAATTGACCTTTTCTATAGGTTTTAATCTCATTTATCCATATGCACTGTTTTAAGGTATTCAGCGCAGTAAAGTCTTTCCAGTCAGGTAGCGTAAAAATGTATTTTCGTCTTGTTTCATCATTTCTAATTTGTTCGTATATCCTGTTGAAAGCGCACGTCATCAGTGTTTCATCAAATGGTGGATTAACATAGACGACTTTTGTTGTCCAATTTGAGACTGAGAAAAAGCAGCCTTTTGAGCCAAATGGTATTTCTAGATCAGGAAACGGTGAACAATATTCGTCAAAGTAATGATCAAATGGTGTAGCAAAGCCTTCTGTCACACTATCATTTGGTTGGTAATTCATTTTTTCAAATTGCCTTGCTAAACCATGATTCAGTAGATGCAAATAATTGTAGCGAATATTCAATGCTACAACGTATTTAATGTGCTGTGGATATCTCTTTGCCAAGTCTGATCTGTCGACCAATCTAAGATCTCTATAGTATATGTCGCCGTTTTCGGACAATTTGGGCGTATCGTCTGTACGAAGGATGGAGCTTTTGATTTCTTTTGAACAAATTGATATTAAACTTTCAAGCTCAGAAACAAATTGTTTTGCCTCGCTCGCTGTAAGATTATTGAATCGGGTTATGTCATTACACAACTGCTGTTGAGCAAGAGGTGAAATTGAAGTGATAAATACCGGATCATCTTTGATTGTTTTTGTCATATTTTTGTTTAATACGTAACGAAGAAATAGATGATACGTTTTTATTGTGGCAATCAGGTTTGGTATCCGCAATTGATTGAAATGACGCATGATTTTTGAATAATAAAGCTCTTCACGTAAAAGTTCACGCTCAATTAGAGACGAATTATGATTCATTATGCAGACACTACTCGAACACTGCGTCATGAATGTTATTGTGTTTTCGTTAGAGATTGCTATTAAAGGTGAGAGAGATAAGGCACTTCATGTTTTAACTTTTTCTAGTTTAAAAGACCGAATATAATAGTCAGCTCTAGGCTGTGATATTGTTTTGTTGTTCTACACATGAGAAAAAATACAACTTTATTACGTTTAATCGTCACTTTTAACTAATAATGTAACTAAGTTATGCATGATTCGAAACTTTACGGACCCCATGAGGAAGTTTTATCATGCGTGAGGGATCATGAAATGTCAGCTTCGACTTTCACGAGATTTTGTAAGTAGTGAGAGCAAGTATCACGACACTTTGGTCGTGTTGTTGCAACATCACACGCGTGGCCACGTGAAAAATCTTCACGCGTTTAAAAATTTTAGTACTCTTCAGTATATTTTACTTTTTAACAAAAATAATCAAAATATTAATCACACTATTATAAGGTTACAAAAAAAGCAAAGTCTATAATCCAAATCCGAGTGCGGCGGGATGTTTTTCGAGAACATGGTTAGTGCATTATGCCAATTTTTTAAGTCTTTCTTTTTACTATTACGACAACTCGGATGAAAACATTTAGGCGTTGGAAACTCTGATCGATGTCGTAAAGTGATATGGTTCTGTAAATTAATGATGCCTATATGGCCTGTTTGAGTAGCATCGTCAGGGCAGTACGGACATAAATTAATAATTAGATGTTTCGCAACTACATGATTCCACAAATCAGTCTCAGTTCTAAATGACCGATTACTGCACCGTTCATACTCACAGCCTACAGGTTCCTTTTCTTGTTCAACCTGTTGATCAACAGTCGCGGTCATCAGATGCTCCTGACTAATGGTCTGTCGATTAGTCGAATGATTAGCTGTTGATCTATGACGTTTTAATTCTTTATTAGAGCTGAATGATTCGGTGCAATAAATATGATCACATTGAAATTGTTTTCTGACTTTTGAAATAAATGGCTGCGATTCTTCCGATGACTGTTCGTTCGGTTCTTGTACTTCTTGAATTGCTGTCGGTTGATTTTGATGTTGGCTTGACTGTTTTTTTGAAGCAAACAATTCTGCACAACCGTCGGCGACGGACTCCTCTTCGTCCGTTTGGTTTAGTTCCTGGACTGGTTGAAAATGTATTTCACGCTGATGACGGTTTAACTGCTTTTGTGAAATACACAATTTGCCACAATTGTTCCAGACGCATCGGAATGACTCCACTTTTCTCCACTTTTCTTTCTTTGTCAGTACTCTTGGTATCATGTGACTGTAATTAGAAAAGCAGATAACTTAGATATTTCTAATATTTAAGTACCAAAAGCCAATAGACCCTGTCAATCTCCGAAAGACTAGGGGTCGAAGGTGCATACAGACTTTATTTTTGAATCACAAATGGTAGAAGTGGTAATCAAGAAACCACTCTACGGTTCTGCACAAGCCCGAAACCTCTCTAATCGACTTTCTTGGAGGTTAGAAATTTCAAGATCTTGGCACAGCAATGTGCCAAGATCTTGCTTTCTTACCCCAGAAATTCCTCGTATATTTTGATATATTGTTTGCTACTTCTTGCTGGACAAAATTTCTCTGCAAGAAAAATCCTCTCTCGCGAGCATATTTTTGATCCCCGAAAGAAGTAGCAAGAGACGAATTTCTTGCGTCTTCTTAATAAAACAGAATTACCTCAGGGTTTAAAAATCCCTTCAAGCGGTAGCAGGACATATGTGAAGAAACGAAAGAATTTCAGAACTGAACCGGAGACCATGTGCACTCCTATGCCGACATTCCACCGCTGAACCAGAGTCTTTATGTATAATATATAGCGGTGGGATTCTGATCAAATATTTCTTGCAGAAAAAACAACAAAGGGGAAAATGTGGCAAGATCTTGCTGTCTTGCCACATGCCTCGACTAAGCATATCTGTGGATTCGAATCTTTTTTGCTGTGCCTCGACCGAGAACGATACCCTCCGAAAAATTGTTTTTACAGCTCCGAGACCGATTTGAATAGATATCTCAAAGCTGCGTAAGATTGTAAACGGCTTTCAGATTATGACTGCCGTTATTAGAGATTCCAAATCCAACTCTGTGTGGCCATGGCATCCTGAACCCTCAAAGCCTGATGTGGTATGCGGACGTGGTGTTGATTCTTTTCTGTAAAGGGTTTTTGAAAACAAATGGCCTTGCACATTACTTTTTCGAACGAACAGTACGACTAAAGTGCTAACAACTTACTCGAATAAATATTCAATTCGATTTGAACCGAGTTTCAAATCTTCTATCCAAATATAACTGACTATTACAGCAGCAGAAACAGAGTGCAAATGTGCAATCAATTCTTCATAACAATTCTCGTTTCCATGTATAATCCAAATATAATAATAGTCAATGTTATATCTAGCGGCAGTAAATTTCATACAGGTATCAGTACCATCAATATTATTCTTTATAGTTTTCATCGATGGATGAAGTCGAATAGTTTGTGGATATGCCCGTTCTAATACTTGATAATATTCTACTACTTCCTTATTAAGTGCATTGTAGCAGATATGATAGTGAACAGATAGATTATTCATTACCTGTACAGCTTTGGTACTGCATAAATCGTTTGTTTTCGTATATGGATGGGCATTATTGAAGAGTTCGTGTCGTCCACCATCACCATCAATCAGTACACAATGCTTTTTGTTGAAAATGTCTAAATCCTTCTTACTGTAGACGCCATCATTAACTAGTTTTTAAAACAGGTTAAAGAATCTTGAACAAGCTGGTGCTAGAAGTACCGAACTGCTCTCCGCTGCGTCTATAAATAATGTAACAGATTTTTCTTTGAATTACATATTTTTGTAGCATCAAACTCCGTTTGTCATAAAACATGTGGAAAAAATTGTTATCGTACTTACATCTTTACTTATTTATTAACAGTTTTGCTCATGTTTTGTGTGTCGCACTGCAAACACAATGTGTATCTAATAGCTTTTTATATACTTTTCCTCTATGCGTACACCACAAAAAGAAAAATGCTTTTTTTCTGTTCTGTTCAGGATTTTTGACACATTTTATTGTACACTTGTTAAATTGATTCAAAAAAAGAAATCTTGGTGAGTTGATATAACGAATGTGCGCAATGGCGGACTGCGGGGGTATCCCTGTCTAAAAAACTGTCGCAGAAAATATAGTATTAACATATAACAATCTCTCTCTGTGATGGATGACAGCTCTAGCTGATTCGAGGTACTTCAGCTGCATTCGATATCTGCTCAATAGAGTTATCTGTTCTGATCCAAAGAAAACTAAAGTGTATAAGAAAATGTTGAAAAATAACGAAAAATACTATTATAAGAAAAAAAAATACTCATGCTTATTGTTTTCATTTTCTGTCATCTGTACTTGATAGTAGACCAGACGACAAGACTATAGATTCGTAGCTCAGTAAACTAAAGAGACGATATGAAAATATTGATGCTATGCGAAAGAAAGTTAATCGGTACGAAACAGCAACACCTACAATATAAAATGTATCTACTTGCTGAAGAGCGTTGATGGCACAATAGATAAAATGTCTGTTTATGATGAGACAGAATCGAGGTGCGAATCCTCGTCAGCGCGTAAATTTTTTTTCCAATTTTTTTAAAGGCCCTCGACTTTAATTTTCGGAAGTAGCCCGGACTAAAAATTATGGACCCATAGGCAATCGACCATGCTGATTCCGAATATCGCCTTCCCCCGGACTCTGATCGCGTTTGAAAATTTCGGAGTCTGGTGATATGATAAATAGAGTAGCAAGAGAATGTTAAGTGAATCTTTTAGTGTCAACTATGTAAACTTATTTATGGGCATTATTTACGATAAGGATGTTTTGCTCTGGGGTGAGATTAGTTGACCCCTTTAGAATGAGTGCAGTAGTTTGTGGTAATACGATAATAGATTTTATATTATTTAACAAGATAGATCTTTCCTGGACAAATCGAAGGCATTTTGGCATTCCCCAATAGCCCAAAATTACTACATCCGTTATTGTTGTAACTTAATGATACTGTTAAATAATAATATAGCGAAATGGTATCAACAGCTTACATAAAAAAAAACACATCCGTTGAGTATCTTGCGCTTAAATCTGACAAAATTAGGATTTGAAAGAATACATTATACCTCATTCTGTAGCCCTTTTAATTAGACATCTTTCTATATACAAAATACGCCTACTCGCTGTCCGTCTAAGAAACAATAATGATTTTTATGTGTCACTATAGCAAAAAATCGAGATACCTGTCAAGTATTTTAAAAATTAGCAGACATTCGAATGGTATATAATGGTTGAGATACTTGCTCTAGACGAACGAAATGGATAACGAAAATACTCTGAGTAAAGTTCATATAACGAGGGAGAAGTTTTGTATGCGAAAATTGTTTCCAGGGCACTGAAAAGGAGTTTTACGATCTGCCAGAATTTAACGTGCTTCAAATTCAAACACATCAGTTTTTCTAAAAAGTATGCTGTCAAGCATTTATATACTGAATACATAATTACTGTTATTATTGTTTACAAAGTTAATAATCTGAACCCTTTTCCGATATGTTTTTTTGTTATTGTAACATTAAGTAAAACGTTTGAAAAATCGATTTTTGTCTTCTCCTTATAAAGCTATTCCCTTGGTGTTTAGCTATTGGTCAACCTGTTATGACCATACGAATGATTTCATTTCAGAATTCAGTTGACTAATCAAGAATAGCGATAGAACGGGCTGCAATTTAGCTTAATATAGGTTAATTTTGTTCACCTGACTGAAGCTATCATAACACCATCGTGCACCACGACGATAAAAATAGTTTCATTGATTTAAAATAAGAACCAATATACTACCATTTGCAGTCTCTAATTGTCGGCTAGCCTGTCTAATGGTCATGTATGTCCTATACGCGATACGTGTGCTGCATACGACTTGTACGCATGATATACGGGTACATACACGTACGAACAGTACACAGCGTGATGTGCGTGTACAAACGCCGCACGAGTCGACATGGGAGTGGAAGTATTTATTCTTATATATGCGTGAACAATGCCAGACAAAATGATGATTGAAAGACTAACATATGAGTGAATTGCAACGACATTGTACGGTTCAGTTCCAAGTTGTAAAATGCAAATATCTCCGGTTCTCTTCACGCAAACTCAATAAACTTTTTTTTGTTTTGAAGTTCTCGCCCTTCCGCACTACTCCTAATAAAGGTATCATCTCGTTTTGTCTGGCTGCTGAGTTAGCTATCAGACTTGATGTAAAATTCTGACTTTTAGCGCTATCTAGCAAACAAAATTTGATATTTTTCGAAAGTGAGTTTGACTTTCAAATCTGAGATAACACTAGATTTTGTAGAGAACAGCTCAGGCTTTCAGAATATGTGCTTTGAGTTGAAATTCGAACATACAGCTAGAAATCTGCCGTCAGCGCAGAAAAATAGAGAGTCTGAATCTACAACTTCACAAAAAAGTTCGCCTTAAGCATGGGTAGTAAAAGCATAACGACAGAGTCTTCACTGGAAAAAAGTGATTTTCACACTAAAAGTCCATCGACATTTTCATTTTTCTTTTGCTGGTTACTCCGGGTTGGTAAGTATTACTAAGGGTTTATTACTTGCATTGTAAATCGTATTGTACACGTAAACACAACCTATTCCTTAAGCATATATTAACATCTTTTAAGGGGGGGGATTAGATTTAGATTTTCCTCTAGCGTTCCCAGTTTGTAGAGGATACTTCGAAGTATATGTTCTGAAGTTTTCTCAGTTTACTTACATTATTTAGCTGAGAAAAAAAATTAATTACTTAAAAAAATGTTGTTAAATTTTTGAGCACTGGGTTATTATTACAAATTTCCTGTCTATTCTCCATTCATTATGAAAATTTAATTCTTGCGTAGATCGATGGAGAAATGTGTGGAGAATATTTACGACGAGAAAATATGTAAAAGTTTTTGTTTTTTCATTCCGGTTATTGACTACTTAGTACTAATTAACATTAATTTAGCCTACTCTACTAGCATAAAGTCTTATTTGTAAACTAGCAGCGCAACAAAAAAATTCAAGCAATACCTCATCTGATAGAGAATTTCACAGGCTACAATATCGTCTACCTTAAAAATTTTAGAATTTATTTTTGGTCGCTCGGTAAGTCTGGTAAGGCCAAAATTTAACAATATTGTTTTAAATAATTAATTTTTTTCTCAGCCAGATAATTTCAGTAACTAAAGAAAACTTCCGAACATACACTTCGAAGTGTCCTCTACAAACTGGTGAAAAGAAAACAGGTGAGGAAACCCCCCTTAAACCAATAAATACATAATGATTGATTCAAACAAATTAAAGATGAAAAATACTTAGACTATAATAGTCATATGGCTGTAATGCTCCACTGAAAAGAACGAACGTAAAGGTTTAAAGTATAAAAATCAGATTGCCCATATAAAAAAAGGGTTATCAGGGGGTTTTAGTGAATCCCTGAAGACACAAATTTTGGAGTAATTACAGGTGGCGCCACCATAGTGGCTGGGTACTTCTGTCATAAAATACACCAAGGGTGAACCAAAACTTCATGATAGTCGTTTTTTATATAGGCAATCCGACTTTTATGCTTTGAACCTTTACGTTGGTCCTTCTCACTAGGGCATTACGGCCAAATGCATTTCTTTTGCAAAAGTCAGTTGAAGAGTCGCTGTTGTCTCTGTTTGTTTTAGCCAGATTCTCTGTACACTAACTTCACAGCATGACAGAGTGATTCGCGAATAGTTTCTAATGGAAGAAGAGTTGGGCCAGTTCGAGCCAAGTCCGCTATGCAGTTAAAATTTTTCAGTCCCAATCCGTGTCAAAAAGCCTATCAGTCCGGACTTCGACTTGCCCATCTCTGTCTTTATTAGAAGCCATTATGTTTTAATATAAGTTTGAGAAAATTAGAATATCCAGTGCAGAAAGTCAGATCAGCATTTAATGTAAAGAAAGGCATGGACTTGTCCATCTCTGAATGGAAGCTAAATTCAAAATTAAATAATTTATTTTGACTAAAAATGATAAAGTTTGTCCTGATATTTGCCAAAAGAGACATCATTAATTGAAACAGTAAATGATCAAGATATACAAGAAATATTTGAAGGTTGGATTTCTTGCACTTATTGTTTTACATTGTATCGTACACATTAAAAAAAAGATAAAAATAATCAACGACAAAACTATGGACTTAATTCTTCACAAACTCATTTAAAAAAATGTAAATAGAAACAAAAGCAATTGTTATTATCAGCCACGATGATAATTGCATCAAATGTTTGCTCAACAACTCAAACTGATAAACCCAACTGTATTCAACATAGTACAGCTGAAACGTCGACCACTGATGAGGATATAATATATCTCTGACAAATCA